CATTTTGCAGAAGTGAATGTTTTGTGAGACACCTATTGGCTCGGACCAACTCAAGTTGGGAGGGGGGGAGGCAGAGAGTAAGGGACAGATCAAATATCATGGAGGTGAGGTGGTGCCCTGTTCCATACCCCAGCCCCTTTGAGCCTCCTGGGGCGGAATTGGATCAGCTGTGAGTCAAAAGCAGCCCAGGAGCACTCCCCACACCACACCCCATGGAGTCCCTAACAGAGCCCCAGAATGGCTGGCACATCAGGAGCACTGGCCCACGCCTTGCCCCAGAGTCAGAATGGCCAGTGGGCCAGAAGTCCTGCCTAGAGGGGTGGTAACAGGAGGACCAGAGCAGACAAAACCAAAGACATGTCGTCTCCATGTGTTTGGACCTTACCATCTGGACACAGGGAAGCTGGAATTGCATGGTACTCCAGCTATAATTCTCTCTTTTTCACTCTCTTTCTTTAGTTCTTCTTCTCTTAATCTCCTTTCTTGATATTTTGAGTAATTTAGACCTGGTTGGGTTGGATTTTGCTAAGTTGTAATGGTTAGTATGTGCTAAGTCAATACTTTGTGTAATGCTTAATTTTGGTTGAATATCACCCTTCAAACTTTTACCGTTACCTTGTCTTCTAAACTTTGTCAGTAAAAGTATGTTATTTTACCTCCTGAGAAAACCTGTGTGGCACCTTCTCCCTTATGCCCTCTCAAGGTATAAAAGAACTGAAGGCCCTTTTAACAAATCTGACGAATTTTTGGAGCCTTGTATATTTTAAAGTAAAACTTCTTCAATGAGCTCATAGGTCGGAGCCTGGGGTCTTACATGCTCTAACATAAAAGTTTTCAACAGTTATGTCAACATGGACAGTCACAAGAATCCATCAGAGTTTACACACCTGAACTCATCTGTTCAAAAGTGTCAAACAGAGAGCAGTTGCATTAAAATGTGCACATGCTTAGTTTGGAGAAATAAGACTGATGAACTTAAAGTCAAAGTAACATTAATTAGACAGCATGCACAGGGCCAAAATCTCTTGACTATTTAAAAATGAGATTCAGTATTTCTTGATTACATTAATAACTACTATGATGACTTTTGCCTCTGCTTTTCTTGATTGCTCATTGAAATTAAATAATTCCCTATGTGAATTAATCTAGATAGCCAAAGATAACATCATAAATATGGGGAAGTACTGGGAAAAACATTCTAATTATGTGTCCTGTCCTCCATGACTGTATAGGAACAAGTCAATCAGTTTTATTTCCTATGTTATACATACAGTATCCAAGAAGTTGTTAAACCATGTTTTGTAATCTATTTCTTTCCTAATCATCTTTAACATTTTATTGCTTTTTCACAATTATTAGATACTAAACTGATGCTTTTATGAAGCTGTGATTCATAAGACTGTGATCTCAGTCCTGACTGGTAACGGACAACTCTGAAACCACCATTTCACATATGAAAATAAGTTTTATTTTTATTTGATAGTATTTGATGTCTATTTACTCTAAACTTAATTTTTCATTTTATTACCCACTGAGTTTTATAAAGTCTGTCATTCTGTGATGATGGTCTGCATCTATACTATTCTGAAAGTGTCATGAGCAAACTTAATCACTTTAAGATTTATTCACTTTTCCAGGTAATTTGCAAGAAAATAGAGTCAGGCACAATTTAAATCAACATTCTTTGAACAAAACAATCTACAGTATTGTGGCAAGAGCATAAAATTAAAGCAATAAGAGAAGGAATGCTCTGAATATTTTTCCAGAATCCAGCAGTTTACCATTTGAGGACAGTTGCAATTAGAGGTGAAGATCTTGTATTCAAGAGTTCAAGATGGATTTTTCTTTCATTAATTTGTTTGCTTTCCAAATCCATGTAATTTTCACAATCCACAAACTTCCTTAAAAAAAACAGAGTCCTTTTCCACATTTGAGGAAAGTTTGAAAAAAATAAATAAAGTAAAATTGCTCAAACTTTGCCTTTCTTTCTTTCTTTCTTGTTTTTGCTTTTGGTCTTGCCACTTCAAATGATGAATTGATATAATAAATCCTTTGTAGTTTTCCCTAGTGCTAATTCAGACTTGTTCTTGGAGAGTAAAATTACATCATGATCTGTACTGTCCTGTTCCACTAGAAAGCTTTTATTTTGACACTTTTGTGTTTTAATATATTTCCATATGTTTCAGGGTAATGATAATAGTCCTTGTAATAGTATAATTTGATGTCATATTGATATTCACTTATTGTAAGAAAGTGTTAAACTCTTAGGCAATGTGAAAGAGTGTGGCAGTAGACATACGTGTGGGAACTACTGTAATATGGAATTTCATTTCAATAAGCTAACCACTGAAGTTCAGAAAAAGCATACTAAACCCCAGAATTTTTCTCTCAGCTCCTAGCATCTTCAAGACTGATGAAAACAACATGCAAATGAATGTAAATATTACGGTAAATTGAAGATATAATTAATCATATCTGACACTGGAAACTAAAGAAATTTAAGCAACCCACATAGTTCATAGGATTTAACACTGCAGTTGAATTCTACTTTCTGATTCTGTGATAAAGTGATTCTGTCACGCTTTCTGTAATTATTATTTATTCCCACTGTGTCAGAAAAAAAAAAGTATTGAACACTGATATATTGATAACCTTTGTTGGTAAATATCTTAGCATAAATAATAACTTCCAGAGTAAAAGGACTGAGTGCGATTGTCCTGAAATTTTCTACTGTAGACAGTAGAGACAGAATGGGGCCTTGATATATGCTCTGTTCTTGGGCATCCTGAAGTATTCACTTAGTAAGAGGGGCATAGATGAGAAATAGTACTGAAATGGACTCAATTGACCTTGGCAACAGGCACACTAATGGCTCTGAGAGTGGAGAGCAGGGCAGGCTACTTAATCCTCAGTGTCAGAAAGCAATTAAATCTGCTAATTACAAAATTATATGTGCAAATGCTCAAAGGCAAGCAAAAACTGTAATGATTAACCATTTTGCAAAGAAATTCTTCCTTCTCTCTCCAACTGTTCCTGGGTATTCCCGAAAGATAACATTTTCACACAGGAGTAACTTCAGCTAACTTAACGTCATTCTAAATGACAGTGATAGCCTTTGCTTTCTCCTTGGAGATGGTACATTTATGATCCCCAAGTGTCAGGCTGTCAGACTGGACACTGTGTTTAACACAGTCATAACCATTAGAGTAACAAAATTTATTGTAGGAGCTACAACTGAGACGTAAAGCAAATTCTACTCTTGCTTTCCAAAGGTGCAGAGGGACATTGCAATAGCACAGGACCCTATAGTATCAGACTAAATGTTTGTGCTTTTCCACCTTCAAAGAGGGGATCATTTTTGCTAGAAAGTTTATGCCATATTCTGTACAACAGCTATAGAAGCACTAAAACCTAGAAATCTTTTTTGACATCTTTCCCTAAGCTTTAAGAACTCAGAATACTGAATTGAGCATATGAAGAGGTTATTGTAAAAGTCCAGTGCACAAGAAAAAAGCCTAAACTATTTATGTGGAAGTTAAGATGTAAATGTCAATGCAACATCCCCAGAACAAACTTAGAGGCATTCTTTCCAAGTAATGCTGTTCCCTACCATATCTATTATCCTCTAGTACATCACACCAGCCTTCTGCTGGAATGAGGAAGAGGAAGGTCTGCCCTAGAAACATTTGATGAGCCTTTAAATAATTTCTAGTTGGCTGTGGAGTATCCATGTAATTAGAGAGACAGCATAAAGGAAAAACACAAAGGAATACAACTGAGGAATAGCCCCTGAATGTATGCTGGCCTGCCACTTGGCTTGCAGATTCCTTTGAAGTCTATGCTTTTTGGATTAAAATGAAGTAAAATTAAACTTCCTAGGCTTTACCATTTTTTTTTTAATTTTTTTTTTAACTCGAAGCATAGTAAGTTTTTCAATAATTAGGGGTCAAACCAGTTGAAATAATTTTGCAAGTAAAGAATGCTAAACTACAGAGGTTTGACTATTGCATTGAAATTCATCTGCTGTATTCCTTGTGTCTGGTAGTTCAGCACTTGTTGACTGTTCAGAGTCTACAGGACTCGGCATGCAGATGAGTGAAACTTCACTGTACGAAGCACAATTTTGAAAGAAATTCTTTATTCTCTCTACTGTGAAATATCCTGTCAGTTTCAGGATTTTTATTTTTTGTTTGTTTCAGGATTTTTGGACCAGTGTTTTTCAACATTCTCTGCAGATTTACCAGATGAAGAAAAGGACTGCAATGAAGTATCCCTTTTCACAACACTTAAGCCTCTATTACTCACTGGTGTCCACCACAGCTCGCACTCAGCACACCTTTATTATCTGTAGCAGTTCACTTTGCAGTACAGTTTGAAAAACAAAGTTCAACTAAGTATGTTATCTCTGGTTTTCAAAGATACCTAGATATGGATTTTAGTTCAAAATATGTGTAATTAATCCTGTGAGACAAGATTGTACAAACTAGAATATTTTTATGAGAATTTGTGGTTCCTTTTCTTCTGCTGATCCACTTTTTCAAATTTTGTGGCAGGAGGAAGGCAAGAGTACGCTGACTCTAAAATGACTTTTCAAAGGATTTAAAGAGTCCTTGGGGCTTGTGATCATAAATATTGAATAAAAAACATAACTTCATGACACTTTTTTTTGATTTTTAATGTAGATGCTTGATTGCTTTTTCAAAAATATGGCTATAATCATCACTGCAGGAACACATATTATAGAATGGACTGGGTTGGAAGGGACCTTAAAGATCATCTAATTCCAACTCCACTTCCATGGACAAGGACACCATTCACTAGACCAGGTTGCTCAGAGCTCCATCCAGCCTGGCCTTAAACACTTCCAGGGATGGGGCATCCTCAACATCATGTGAACCTAACAGCATGCAGTGTGGTTTAGAGTCATATGAAAAGTCCTAGAGTTTCATTTTTACCTTGCAACCACTTCTCTGACAGCTATAAGTTTCTATAGGACTTACTCTTTGCTCAAGTCTTGAGTAACTTCTAATTTTTCAGTGGCACAACAAAGAATCTTATTCCTCTTCTTCACCTGCATGATGGAGTTTCCTACAATAGTAACAGATGCAAAGACCCAAGATTCATTAATATTATCTGTACTTAAATATGACACAGCTTTATTGACTATTTCCTAACTTGATAGTGTTAGGGAATATTTTTTTTCAATGCCGTAAAGTGACACTTCATCACATAATTAAGTGACACAATAAAGAAGTAGAAAATTACATTCCAGAACTCTGGAATATAATACTACTATTAAAAATAATTGATAAAAACAAAATTTTAATGTAACATTTTAAAATTAACATACTTTGAGAATTTAATGAGTTTGTTTAACTAGACAAGGTTATTATTGAGATACACAATTTTTGAGTGGACCATCTCAGAAAAAATTCCCTACAGAATATTTAGCAACTCTTAACATTTTTTATGTTCATGTGTCAGTGATCTTTTAGTACTGTTTAAGACTGTCAGGACACATGCAGATAATTTTGAGACAGCTTTAATTGTTTACTTATTTGTCTAAATTTATACTATGAAAAGCAAATTTTAAACTTCTTGATTTCCCCGAGTTCTAATGTGGTAAATAACTCTTATTTCTAATTCATATGTTCTAATGTTGTACAGTTAATATTCAATGACAGGGGTTAATAAATGTCCTTAAATAAGAAATAATAATACTACATCTGGAATAAATAACAACTAGAGAGTCATCACTAACAATTTAAGAATTCATCTATGGCTTGACCACTTTTGTGTAAATAAGTTCAGATTTTTGCATCTTTCCTATATTCATCCTCATATGTGTGACAATGCCTCTTTTCTATCTTTGCTGAATAATTTCCAGAATTTCCACCCTAGTTTCCCTCATTTTCAAAATGTAATTTTAAATGTCTCTAGGTTTCAAAGACAACAGAATCTTTCTCTAGTATTTGAAAAATATCTAGGTACAAAATTCTCAGTTACAATGTTCAGCTATCTTGTTTCTGCACTAAAACAGAGAGCTGCACTGACACAGTTCTTTGTAGCATTTTGAAGAATGCAAAATACAGGGAGCAAAAGTACTTTCAAAAAAAACCTCAATCCTCTAGCTTCTGCGACTCTAGCCTGACTTATGGTGTTCCTGCAAAAAGCGATAGCATACTCAGTGGATTGAAATCTTCTAAAACTGGCTGGAAATATATTATAATCTTGTTTCCAGTTTAATGGAAAATGGAAGCACTGGAGAGACTGTCCAGACTGAATTCAATGAAGATCTTTTACAGTTAGAGGGGAGATCCTTGGCAACATACTGTATCTCTCAAAAGGAGAAAGAAAATGGATTTTCATCCTCTGAATGCTTAAAGAAATGCAGTATATTTGAAATGAACTCCTAAAAGTATTTTGTCCTATGAACCCATAGAACTCCACAGGAGTTTTTGTTGCTACACAGTGAGGTGCCATAACCATGTATATTGTCTTTTAGTTTAGTATGTGTTCTTTCTCTCAATGTGAAATATTACGAGACAGCAGTTGGCTCATTTTATCTGAGCTATCCTGCAGATGCCTTCTGATTCTCATTTTATTGGCTATGTGGAGAAGTTGCCATTTAAAACCTTAATTGCCAGAGCAGGTTGTGAAATATTCTATGAGATTTACTGCTTTCCCTTTGTGATGTACCTTCACAGCAAAGTGACCCTGGTGATTAGGAAGCATATTGTATAAATGGCGATGTAATGAGGGCTTGGAGACTATGAAGTCTCCGAAGAACACTTCATTTTGAAATTTTCTTGTTATGGAGTATTTTATGAAGAAATCCTGCCAGGAATTCCAATGAAGATAACCTGGATCTTTAGCCAGAGACACTGTCAAAAATAGAACAAAATTCTTAATTAATACTTTAAACTGTAGATCCATGAAGTCCAACCTCACCATTTAACTGATCTGAGGAAGAGAGGCACTGAAAGAAAAAAATATCTCCATCTTTAAGATGTAAATGGCCTGCATATTTTTCAAGTTGTTGGCAAGACATCTAATCAGAGTATTCATGATTCAGAGTAAGAATAATAATTCTGAATATAACGAGTATGTGGATAGTTTTTCTGTTTTTAAGAACTGCATAATGCATAATAAATGTATTACATACTTTAATACTTAGATTTTTTTTTAATTCAAATTCTGCTGCTACTCCACTGCAGTCTCTACAAGAGAGTTAAATCGTTTCATTCGTTTTATTGCTTGTTAACTTTGAAACATAAAAATGACCATTTATAAGTTAATTTTAACTATTTCACTACTGATCAGACTTAGGAAGAACTTGCTTCAGTATGCTTCTGTCCAATGCTGTATTGATTATGCAGTTTACTGAGATGTTAAACTCCTGTGCTCCTTTTAAAACAACTTCTGTTGTGGGTTAAGCTCAGGAGGCAGCTAAGCTCCACTCAGCCACTCACTTACTCCCTGCAGTGGGATGGAGAAGAGAATCAGAAGGGTAAAGTTAAGAGAACTTGTGTGTTGAGATAAGGACAGTGTAATAGGCAAAGCAAAAGCTGCTCAAAAAAACAAAGCAAAATAAGGGATTTGTTCACTACTTCCTATCAGCAAGCAGATGTTTAACCATTTCCAAGAAAGCAGGGCTGCATCATTGTGTAACCATTACTTGGGAAGATAAAAGCAGTAACTCTAAATGTCTCTTCCTTCCTCTTCCTTCCTCTTCCTCAGCTTTTCTTGCTGAGAATGACATCATACAGTATGGAATAACCCTTGGGTCGTCTGGGGTCATCTATCCCAGCTCTATCTCCTCCCAGATTCTAGTGCACCCCAAGCCTCCTCACTGGCAATCTTTTATAAAGTAAACCAATTGTATTTACTAGTACAGGAAAAAATATACTATGTGAGGTTTTTCAAAGAAAGAGAATGATATTATAGTAAGTGAATATATATACAGATACATCCTGAATATCGTAAAGCTTGTAATAGCGCTGTCACTCATTTGCTCTTTAGTGTCGCAGAAACTACCTCCAAACTCTGTGAAACAATGAAATACAAGGCACAATTTGTATGGTTAAAAGACAAAGTTGTATCTGAAATGGAATATACTGTATATGAAAGCCAGATAGTTGTTTCAAACAGGTTTTTAGCCTTTGACACTGTTAGTGACCAAGACCTGAGAAAAAAGGTCTCACTTTCAGCTGCTGACAAATACTCAGACTAGGTCAGGTCACTTCAATATTACTTTCACTTTGTTCTTGAGAGGTTAGTGATTGGAGATTCAAATAAGCATCACCAGAGGTGAGAACCTAATTGGGCCCAGAAGATTGGATTTCTGCCAGAAATATGAAAGTGTGCAATGTCAAAAATATACCATTTCAAAATATCTGCTGTCCCTGTCTCTGTAAGACACCTAACAACAAACACACAAGTAAGACCATTGAGTGCATAGATATTTCTGTTCAAAAATTAAATTCTTTGCTGTACTAGATGTGTAAAATTTAAAGTGGTCAGATCCAACAGCAGAATAATCATCATTTCATAAGGCCAGCTACAAGTGAAGTAAATAAATGACTTGTCAAAATGTCATTGCAAGGAGGGACAAAAAAGACTTCATTCACCCCTACTCCTTCTCAGAATACACAAGCACATGCACCAGGAAAAAAAACTGCTGCTTCTCTTGCACATTCCTTAGTAAATCAGCAATTATACATCCCCTCCCAAGAAACCTTCTCAGGGGTTTTCTTTCTTTCACCCTTGTAGTTCCCTTCTTCTGGTATCTCTGTGATTTTACAGAGCATCACAAAAATCTTCCTTTCCCCAAAAAAACTGGGAACATGCCACTCAGAGTGGCTCTTCCCAGCAGCTTTCAGGCTGCCCAGTTACAACTGGGGGCATCCAGCTGCCCGCGATGGCACCCCACAGAGAGAATGCTGGGATTCCATACCCCTACTGGGGACATGGGTCAGACAGGAGCCAGCTATGCCCAAACACTAAGCTGGGCCAAGGATCCAGGTGAGAGAAAGCCATGAGCCTTGTTCAACACCACTGTTCCATGGAAGTGTTGTTTCCTCAGTATGTCAGGAGCTCCTGCCTGTCACAGAAGAAGCATGACAGGCTCACAAGGTAGCTGAAAGAAACCCCAACTGGACACCCCACAGCCTGCTCATATCCAACAGGCACACAGGGGGCAGGAACCAATACCAGCTGTCCCTCACAGACCCATCTGCAGCAGTCTGCCTTCTCCAACCCTCTCTCATCTCAGTCTCTACATGCTATGAGGCTGGCTCCCATGGGATTTGCATATCCAGTATTGGGGTAAACACCCATCGGTGTTGCTGGAAACTCCCTCGTGAGGTTCCTCCATGCCGCCCCCAGCCCACGGCCACTCAGGAACTGGTCAGGCAGGGCTGGACCCTTGCAGATAGCCACCACTGGCAGGAGAGGAAAGGCGTGGGTGGCTTTCAGCAGGGAGATGGTAGGCTTGGAAGAAGAGAGCTGCCACCTGGATGCTGACGGCAGGTTATGAGGCAGTAGCATCTGGGCGGGAAACATGGTGTGTGAGGGAGGCAGGTGGTGTGTCAGCTGGAATGCACAGCAGAACTGTGTATTCTGGAACTGTCTGTTTGAAACAGCTTTGAAGAAAAGGACCTAAGTGTCCCAGTAGACAACAATCTGTATGTGAGCCAGCAGTGCACACTGGCAGCAAAGAAAATCAAGTCCATGGAAGTGATCCTTCCACGCCACAATTAAGATCATGCCTGAGGTCCTATGTCCAAGTCTGGACTCCTTGAGCCAGAGTGCAACACCATGTTTCCCCATACATAATCAACAAATGCATTCTTCAATTCTTCTTCAGACTTTTTTTTATCATTGACATCCTATCCAAAGGCTGACCCAGTGGCAGACCTGACAAGATGGTAAGACCACGCTGGGGATGCAGCAGTGGCAGCTGCAGGTGCAGCCTATTGTCTCCACGACCTCCAAGCAGAGGTTGGCTTCATATGGCTGTTTTTGAAA